GATAAATAAATGTAATTATAATGAAACCAGAGATATACCTAGGAGGAAAAATACAGGCCTCATCTTTTTAAGTGGGAGAACTTGCACAATTGGTGGCTGACTAAATACTTTTTTGCCCCACTGTGTATATATATATATGATAATTAATAATATAACTAAATCACAGTCATCAAAGACTGTGGGTTGAATTATATAAATACACTTACTGTCATAGCAGGGAAATCAGAAGTGTAACTCTATAAAACATCTGTGTTGCTAAATCCTGACCATCAACAGTGAGAGAGCCCCATTTCCTTTCGCCCTAAACCTCTACTCACACCACCACTTCCACAGAGGCAGTTCCAGGGTCAGTTCAGAGACTGAGCCAGATTGCAGAGGCACCTGCTCTAGGAACTGTAAATAGTTGGCACCAACCTTTTGCCTGGCCAGCACCAAGAGCCATTAACCTCATTCTTTTTATTTGGTTCTTTCCTTTCCACTACCTTTGACCCTTTGTATTTACTAATCCACCTAGATGGGATCACATTTAGTGTTACTTCTTTAACCTGTTATTTCCTGTGGTGGCTAGTCAAATGTCTGCTATGAGAGAGTCCCATTATACTGACCACTTCACAGTCATAGGAAAAGAATGAGCTAATGTTTCGTCAGTATCTTAAGTGCAAGATTTAAGATGAAATTCAAGTAACGTTAAAGTTTTCCGTTATGTACATGGTTATTTCATCATTTTGATGACTCCCAAACCTCAAAAGATTTGATGAGAGATTAAAAAAAGGTTCAGATTTTATAAATTAAATCCTGAATATCTAGATATTGAAACCCCATCCTTAAAATACACTCGGTAGACATGTCTTCATGTGAGCATTGAGCTCTCAGTCACAGTTACATTGCAGCCTTCCTCTCCTCTCATCTCAGCAGCTGGCAGTGGGAGGAAAGCAATGCCAACGGTATTTAACAAGCATCCACTGACCTATCAAAGCCATCGACAGCACAGGTAGCCAACTGTTTACGAGGTTCTAAAAAGGCAGTTATGAGCAGAGAATGCCTAATGGGGCCGGGACAATGGTCTTGTTACTTAAAAAGTCCTCTCCAAACATTTGACACAGCGACAGCCGCCGCTCTTATTGCTCCTCATCTCCGCATTATTTCAGTCAGACTTTTTGGGTGGTGGTGTAGGTGGTAAGAGGGAAGAGTGCAGGGTGAAGGGTTGGAGGCAGGAACTTAATTTTCAAACACAAAAGGACAGGATGAAGCCTTTAAGTTAATAATACCCCATGGAGAGCTCAGAGAGCCAGCTGCATTTTAATAGGGATTAATACCCGGGCTCTGTCGGCACATTATTCACCTTTTATCAGCTCCAACAAGCAGGCAGGCGAGGAGAGAACAGAGGCCCCCTCTCCCTCTCTTGCTTTGTAGGGTGGAACAGAGGCTGAAACAATGCAGTGAAAATGAAGGATGAAATGGGTGCCAATTATACTGTCAGTCGCATTAAAGTTTAACTGGGTGGAGGCTTGGATGGACCCCCCTTTGAGGCACTGGCGGGTACAGCCGGTAGAGAGAGGGAGCGTGAACGATGGAGGAGAAATTCTTTCTTTTGATTATGCTGAGGCATTCTGAGTCTCTCCGTCCCCAAGAGCAAAAGTAAGCCTTTGTTTTAGAGAGACAGTTAGGGCTTTGAAACCCCCAAATGTTACAGGGGTATATTAAGGAAATGGTTGCTTGTTTGGTAACACTAATGGTTACATTGCAAAGTGTGCTTTTGCTTATATATGTGTAGTAGTAGTGGTAGTAACAGTCATCCATGATACAATTTAAATGGTTTTGTAAAGATGCAGATGTTTATTTATGAGTGACCTTGGGGACATACGCATTGATAAAAACCGCACTGCAGTTTGAAACCTCATTATATTGTTGGGATTAATTATAAACAGTAAACAAATGAGACCATGGTTTAGACAATTGGTAGCCTCTGTCTTTTAATCTTGTTAGTTCTGCTGCTTCTTAAAATGAATAGAGCAATATCTCTGCACTTAATAGTCCACCAATGCTAAGTAAATCTTCTTCAGGCAAAGTTTTTTTTCTTGGGTACTGCTGAACAGCATAACAACTTTTGGAAGTGACAGCATCCAGTCCTAGTTCTTTCAGTAGTCTTTCATTTTGCCACGATGAGATCCTGCAGAGGTCCCCAGACATCCATCCTAGAGGCATACGAACAATGCATTGACATACAATGCAGTAATGGGATTATTCCACAATATCAGTTTGGAAATCATTTAAATTACACCCATGTAAATGGGTAACCGGATATCCTTTTCCAGGTTGTAGGATTACCAATAATTTTGTGAAAACAGCTTAATTTCTTCTGCCGAACCGCATTTTAATTAGCAGCACTTGTCTGGCATGCTGTAAATATTAACCTGGCAGTTAATCCATCCTCCAAAGCTGCCATCAAACTTTCTTAAAGCAGCATACTAACTAGAGATGTCCCGATCCGATCACGTGATCGGGGATCGGAGCCGATCACGTGATTTTCAAAAGATCCGAATCGGGAGAAAAAAAATCGGGGATCGGGATTTTTTTTTTTTTTTTTTTTTTATATAAAAAGACTTTTTTTTAAATTTTGTATTCAATGTTACAAAACTAAAATGACCATGTTCAAGTCTTAAAGTCATCCTGAGGCCTTAGTTTTGGTTTCAAATTACGGAACATCATGTATGTGTTGCTTTTTTGGGGCTTGTTTTCATAGACCTGGTTGCTTATTTCTCTCAAATCTGGCAACAGAGTGGGCAGGGCGCAGTGTCTAATTGTAGCAGTAAGCTAACGAGTACTGAAAGCTTTATTTTGTTTTGATCCAATGCTGCACAACTGAACTGATCCAATGCTGCTGTGAAAGAAAGAAGCTATATCCATGTTGGATAGAGGCGGCCGGTCCATAGGGGCGCGTAAGGGCGCCCGCCCCCCTCTTCCCACATGTTTGATTGTCATTAAAAATAAAAATTCATAAAAAATATATTTCCCAAAAATATTTTTTTTATTTTATTTTTAAAGTAACAAGGTAAATATTATATAGTTGGTATCAGTAAAATGTATAATCTACAATAAA